GAAATTAAAAAAAATGTTTTATAACTTTAAAATATTCCAACTTTATATATAAAATGTTCTATATAAGTAATTATAAATTATTGATTTGTAAATTGAGAATTTTTATATATATTATATAATTATTGATATTTTACAGAAAAATATTCTTATTTAATAATATATAAATCTATATATATAATCTATATAATAAAATAATAAATATAAATTTTTTTTATAATTTTATATATCTTATTTAATTTTTTATGTGTTTAATTTTATATAAATTAATAACTTACATAAGTTAGATAAAGTAATTTTAATAATTAAACAATTGTTAAATTTACACGTGAATATTAATACATACATCTTCATGGTGCCTTTCGGTCCAAGATTCGTTTTCATTACATCTTGAATTCCTTTTGCAGCAGATATATTAACAGCCAACGCTTGAGCAGCTCTAGCAAATTCGGCTTTGGGATTTAACAAACTAATTGCAGCCATTTTAAAGATACAATAAACACAATTTATAGTGTATTAAACAATTTAAGCCTTTCAATATATAACTTTCGTCAATGGCTTCTCATCTGAATAATATAGATTGTTAACTAAACGATATTCTAGAAACTTTTAGGAACTTGTAGTTTCTGAAAGTTACAATATTTTTCATTGAAAATTAAAAACTCATTAAATAATATTTTATAATACTATTAATAACAATATTAATTTAAAAAAACATTTTTCTAATTTATAATTAATTTAATCTCAAATTTTGATTTAAAAATCTTTAATAAAAATGTATTACCATGGACAATGATAGGACCTTTAGATCATATATATATATATATAGATATGACTTGTGCATAAGGATCTATGAGTGAAATTAAAGATATGATCTGATGTCACTTATGGACAAAATATAATTTAAAATTGAATTAGATATCATTATTACAAGCAATTACGTAAAAATAAAGTTATATATTTATTTGTGAATAATTTTTAAATTATTTATAACGATGCAAACATACTAACATATTAATTTACATTATAAAAAAATAATTTATTAATAAATCATTATAAAAAGTAAATTTAGAAAAACTTTTATTTTATAATTATTTTATAATATAAATAAATAATTTTTTTTACACATACTGTTATTATTTTTTTAAAACTAAAGTACGTATGTTATAAATCATAAATATAAGTTTTCAGTAATAATAAAATTTGATTTTCATTGTATATATATATTATAATATTGTTGTAAATTTAATTTAAAGTTTTCATAATGACAAAAATATAATATTAGTAATATTTAGTATCGTAATTATAAGTCAATACAAAAATGTTTTATTTACAAATTTACAATTGTATACGTTTTATTGATATGTGTACATCTTATTTTAGTGATTCTATCGATTAATCGAAGAATATATTTTTAATATATATTTATATAAAAATATATATAAAAAATATATAATATATATTTATATAAAAATATTTATATATTTTTTTCGACCAGTTATTACGATTGTTGAAATCTGAATCCAATCAATTATAAACATGCAATAATTTCAATTTTTACAAATGACATGATGTCTTATATTATTTTGATGAAATAAATATAAAAATGTTATTTTTTTTTCGAAATAATTTTTTTATATTATTTTCAAAATAATATAATTATCGGACGAATATGATACGCTAGAAGTGACTCAATTTTTCTGTAAATTTCCGCAGAAGAATATATAACGTTATTCCTATATTGCTGTATTAAGTAAAAATATATCATGATACAATGCAATGTTTGATTTTAATGAGAAATTTTTAATATTTTTAATAGTAGAAAAAATAGTATATTGTGCTTGTCTTTCAAATATATAACGATTTATGAATTACGATTTCTGAAGAAAATATATAAAATTAAATAAAGATTTTTATAATTATATAATATAATAAAAAATATTCATCATAATTGTATATGTAGGAATGTGTTTTCAATGATATTTTTAATGTTAAAGGATTACATCATATAAGTTATTATAATAAGTAAAATGACAATTGATGAAATTAATTTTAAATGAAATTGTAAAATTAATATTTTTAACATAATTATCATAAATTTAAAAGATTCATTTTTTACAATGAATATTATATGTATGAGATCATATAAAACTGCTAATATAATAGAAATCTTATTGTGTAAGTTATAATTAATATTTTAATATTAATAATATTAATAATATAAATTATTGAAATTATATTATAGGGAGAAGATATATATCAGATTTTTCATTTGTTCCTAAATGTGAACCTACAAAAAATTCATATTTATTGAAGTTAAAAGATTTTATTGATAGTCATGACAATATATGTGTACTAACAGGAGCAGGAATATCTACAGAAAGTGGTATTCCTGATTATAGATCTGAAGGTGTTGGTCTTTATGCAAGAAGTAATCATAAACCAGTTCTTTATAAAGATTTTTGTAATAGTGATGCTATTAGAAGACGATATTGGGCTAGAAATTATATAGGTTGGCCAAGGTTATAATTTTTTTTATAAAAATGATTTTAAAAAATTATTATATATAATTTTAATGTTTTAAAAAAATATTAATTTCATAGATTTTCTTCTATCAAACCAAACAATACACATAAAATATTAACAAAATTAGAAAATGCAAATAAAATAAGATATATTATTACTCAAAATGTTGATAATTTGCATACAAAAGCAGGTAGCAAAAAAGTGATAGAATTACATGGAACAGCATTTAGAGTAATGTGTCTTAATTGTAATGAAAGAATATGTAGATATTATTTACAAGATATTTTTGATAGGATTAATCCAAATATGACAATAACTAGTCAAATGATCAGACCTGATGGAGATGTAGAACTGACACAAGTAAATGATATAATAAATAACTCAAAAAATTCAGATAATAACTTAAAGAAATTTAAATGATTTATATTTTAGGAGCAAGTAGAAGAATTTAAAGTTCCAACATGCGAAAAATGTAATGGTATTCTTAAACCAGATATAATCTTCTTTGGTGATAATGTTCCACGTCAAATTGTAGAAAATATAAAATATAATATTAAGCATTCAGATTCGCTTTTAATTATAGGTACTACATTAACTACATTTTCTAGCTATCGAATAGCATTACAAGCTAATAATATTGGAAAACCTATAGCTATATTGAATATTGGAAAAACTAGAGTAGATAATCTTGC